GAAACAATTTGTAATCTTGAGCAGCAGCTAGCTGCAGTGAAGGTGGAGAAGTCATACCCCTCAGCAGAACAGGGTCTTCTATCAGACAAGTATATTGATGACCTTGAAAAGAAAATCCAGTTGCAGGTGATTTATATTCTTCAGCCCAGGATTTACTGGGTTCATGTTTGTATTTTGGACTGATTCTTGTGTAAATTCTTGCGGTATATGGCATCTTTTGTTTCTTATTTATTTTTAGAAGATGTTCTCCTGTAGAGGAGGGATATGGCAGGAGCATATCACATTTAATTAACTGACTAAGCGATGCAGAGCAGAGGAATCACGTGAAGCCTTAGTGCCTCAAAAGTCTAATTACGCATTGAGAATCAAACTATAAGACCTATCGAAATATTTTAATTTTTTCCTTTATATAAAGCCTGAAGAAAGCAAAAGAAAGGGTCTCATTAGTAGCACTTGCAAATGCCTTGAAGTGGATGCGTGATGATATGCTTTTTATGAATGAATTATTTAAGATTTTTTAACTTAGGAATTTAAATCACCTGAGATGCTTAGTCTTTTACATTTGTTCTATTTTATAAAAACATACTGAGCCTGGTGCTGTAACATTCTGCTTTGACATCCATACCTATTCCACGACAAGATTTTGTATTAAGTCGCTGTACATGATGGAGCCTAAACAAACAATCATTTTGTTCATTCAGTTTCTCTATATTAATCTTTCTATGTTAAACTAATTGCTTTTCCTGCATGAAATCGCGCATTACTCAGCATTTCTATATTAGAGTTCTTCAATCTTCTATTAGTGTGATATCTACAGCAATTAAAAGACTAAATCTATCTAGCTTTCTTGTGAATACAGACACTGGGTACGTTGTTATTGTTGTTGTTTTTAATACAGACACTTTAACGTCACTGCATTTCTTTAAATGTGTCTATAAAATGGTTCTGATAAGTTTGTTGCTTGAGCAGGATATTGAGAATGATAAGTTGAAGTTGGAACTAGTCCAGAGTGTAGAGGAGAGTAGTGGATTGCGAGTACAGAACCAGAAATTGTTTGAAGAGACCTCATATGCAAAAGAATTAGCATCTGCTGCGGCAGTTGAACTTAAAAATTTGGCTGGTGAAGTGACAAATCTATCGATACAGAATACAAAACTCGAGAAAGAACTGTTGGCCGCTCGACAGGCATTAAATTCTAGGAGCACCATTGCACAAACTGGTAATGTTCGCCACCGAAAGCATGGCGAAAACCTATGGCAAGGACGTAGAAGTCGGGTTTCTGACCGAGAAAGTGAAGTTCCTGGAGTTGTTCGTGATGGATTTGGCACATGGGATCTAAATACTAAAGATTTAAAAATGGAGTTGCAGGCAAGAAAACAACGTGAGGCAGTTCTTGAGGCCGCCTTGGTTGAGAAGGAAATACTTGAAGATGAGTACCGGAAAAAGGTTGAAGAGGGAAAGAGAAGGGAGGCAGGTCTGGAAAATGATTTAGCAAATATGTGGGTGCTCATTTCTCAGCTAAGGAAAAAGAATGGTGACACGCAAGATGTAAAGACAGTAACCGAAAGGCAGAATGTTGGAAGAGGCAATATGAATGATCCAGAAATGTTTGATAGTGAGTACAATGACCCCATCCTCGATGATGGACAAACCGTGGATCATGCAACCTCTGTTGCTGAGATTCTGAAGAAGACCCTCTTGTTGCCCGCTTGAAGGTAATTATGTTGGTCCTTTTAAAAAAAAATAAAAATAAAAAAACAAAAAAAAATTGTGTTTATCCTTTTCTTGCCACTTAGCACTTGTATCTAGTACATGAACGTGTCAGGGTGTGTCCTTGTCATTTGTCTGAGTTGAAGCTATGTATACTTCCAAAAGCTAGCTAATTACCTTGTGTTTGTGCATCATACACCCATAATGAGGCTAGATAAGCTTTATTTTACTTTTTCTCTCTAACGTGGTCATTTTTGTCTATTCAGTTGTAAAAACAAGTGTGAGATATACTTTGGATCCAGTAAGATATGCAAGCTTTTTGGAAGATAGGAAGGTTAGATTTTAGTAGCACACCAGAAGGGTGGGGAGAATAAGTGTCCAACATCTGCAAGTCATGGGTTTTAATATACATTTATTCCAACCGTCCCATTTTTTATCTTGTGTTTGACTGATTATGGCGTTTAAGTTGTTAATATTACTTGAATTTGATTTTAGTGATAACAGGAGATAATATCAAAGTAATGGTTGAAAAGTCAGTTCAGTGGAATATATCACATCAAAGTTTCAAATGTGGATTGTGTGATTAATTTTCATTCTTGCAAGTTGTGTAGAAATAGACTTGTGTCAAACATTTTGAACATCTCAAAATATAAAATTGTCATCATAAATTGAAAAATGAAAAGCATTTAGTTTTTAATCGGTTGTCGTTCCATGAGGCTTCTAGCATAGTAATGCTTTTACTTCAGTGCTTCTGAAATGTTTCAATGAATCATAACTAGGAGCCACAATGTTTGCCCTTTTATGCTCTGCTCCTTGTCAATCTTTGGAGGCGGCTGTTTCTGGCTATCCTACTGTTCTTGACTGGGATATAATTAACAGTAGTAATGCAAGAAAATGTTGAACTGACAGTTGGTTTTAGTTGTAAAAGAAAACATATTTACTTTTGACAGTCAAATAGATTGTAATTCTTAGAAGAATTTGACATTGTAATGTAATATTATTAACGAAATTGTGTGTAGCGTTTTGAGATAAAATCTAAAATGGGAAATGTGATATAACATGGGTAACAGAATAGCTGTTAGTGCTTAGGTTCTTGCTTAGGTAGAAGCTACTAATAACAACTGTTGTTTCTTTAGGTTCCTTGATGACTCAAAATATAACATGAAGTATTAAAGATCTTTTATGTGTGTGCGCCATCAGGCTCGAACGCAAGAGATGAAGGAAAAGGACCACACATATGTGGGGAATGCAGATTTAAATTCACATGTATGTAAAGTCTGTTTCGAATCACTAACTTCTGCAATGCTCCTTCCTTGCCGACATTTTTGCTGTAAGTCAACTTTCTCATTATGTGCTCAGATTATCCTCTCTCCCTTGGATAGGATCTGTCTAATGTCGACTTGATTTGCAGTGTGTAAATCTTGTTCCCTTGCCTGTGCTGAGTGTCCAATCTGTCGAACTGAAATTGCAGATAGGATTTTTGTCTTTACTTGAGATGCCATTTCAAGTGCTTGAGCTTTGGTGAAAGGTTGGTGGTTGTTTCATCATGAATTCCCATTCTATTTTACAAATATGCATAAATTCTGAAGACAACTTGCAATAAGGTGCTTACTTTTCTCCTTCTCTTTGTAGGAGGGTTCTCTTCGCACTTGTGAAACTCACTTTCTCATGACAATTCTTTAAATGGATTAACTGTATGTAATGTCAAAGCAGTATACCTTTTCCCCCACTTATCCACCAAGTAACTGTAAATTAAGAAAGATAAGGGGACAAAGGAAACAGTCGAATTAGTAAATTTGAACTCTGGGAGTAGCTTCTGGCCACAGCTTGATCTCATCACTTCAGCTGTAGTATATAGAGAACACAACTGCAATGACAATGTTGCGTCGTGTAAGTAAAATATTTTGAGCTTGTACATCATTGGGGCTATATTCTTGTTCTCTTTGGTCTGACATTTCTTTATTTGTTATTCCACATGGTATATTTCTTTTTGGTTTTCTTTATTTGTTATTCCACATGGTATATTTCTTTTTGGTTTCTTGGTCATTCGGAAGTCAAATCTTAACTGGAATTGCTTTTTTGTTTTTCTACTAACTGGCCTTTCTTCAATGTCTTCAACATGTAAATAATCAGAAGCATTATCTAGCTCGCCAGCTAGTCTGGTTTATATAATCCTTACGTGCAATGTGATATGTGAATACTTTGGATATCAATAATCATACGTAGATATTACATTAGATTTGTGTGAAGTGATTGGATGAGCATTTTGTAAGGTCACATTTTACTTCAAATTGGGTAGGATACTTTAGGAGTGGGGTTTGTAAACAAGTTATATCAAAGATTTAACGCATAACTAATATGAATACTATTTCTACCGAACACTCTGTTATTAATGAATTTTTCCAATAGTAGCCAAACATCCCATTACCCTCATTAAATTAATATTCTCATATGAGTTTTTAGTAAGGTCACACTGGATCGGTCTATTGGTGTAAAACTCAATTGGGAATAAGGCATAGCCATGAGCCCATGATACTATACTAACATTAGACCATATTCTACGAGTCTTTTCAGTATGTTGAAACAATTTATGTACTAATATAGAGAAGCTCGAATAGTACATAATCTAAAATTTTGAATATAAGATGAAATGTGTTCAAATAGAGCAATCAAAATGAATAGTGAAAATTCATATTTCAACTAGTTATTTTGATTGTCGTTGTGCATTAACGTGGTGTAGATTATAGATGATTGAACTGACATTGATTGCCTAGAAAGATAGTTGTCGAAAATCTTTGCTTGCCATTGGACGCTGCTGGTGGGATAATTTCATAAACAAAAGGAAAATAAAAAAACAATGCAGATAATCTTTGCATCAATCTCCCATAAAGAATTGATTTGGCAATGAATACTTGAAACAAATAGGAATACCATAATCAATAATCAAAGCGGGTAATAGGCACAAGGCTATCCCACTAGCATTACAAAAAGATTGGTCTCCCACAAAGCAAAAACAAAAAGTACCCCAGATCTGTTAAAACCCATTCCCATTCAGATTAACATATTGCAACAAGTCCAAGTGATTTGACTTGCAAAAAAACAAATAACAAAAAAAAGAACAGTGGGGCTTTAACTTACAACATGTGTTACATATCCAAAAACAAAGCAACTGGTCAAAGTTAGCAACCAAAAGAAAAGGTCTGATGGCAGTTTGTATAACTGTTTTCTTAATATCTCAAAAGATATTATGCCCTTTAGTATTACCAAGTCTGTCTTATAAGTTGCTTGGTAGATGGAGAGTTGATCTGAGGAACAGGTACTCCATTTGATATTAAGAGGTATCCCCACTTACTGTAGTGGAAAAAAAACTACACAGCTGGTCGTATCTGATCAAAATTCTGCAATCAAACAGCATCATTTAGTTGCAAGTTCTGAACATTTTATTATATTCGAAAAATGGTCAAATATGTTGGTCTAAAAATGCCCCTTTCGTCAATAATTTAATCCCATATTTCGTATGACATTCCTCTGCAAAAGGTGTCACCATCATTATTGTCGGTGAATATAAGTTAAATCCGTAAAAAAAGAAACACTTACCATATGAAGAAGAAGAGGGATATTCAAGAAAATCTTCGACATGCCAACCAGGAAGAGTCTCAGTCAAATATTCTGATATGCTACTAGTTGAAACAGAACCCTCTTGTACATGATAATCAACTTGAAAATAATTAGGTGTCGATTCTGTAGTACTCGAAATCGAATTACTCTTCATCCCAAAATTACCACTACGTGCTTTAAAGTTATTTGTACCAGCATTACTTGCAGCAGATCCAGTTGGGGATATTGAATTTTGGTTATTAGAATTAGAAGCAAGTACATCAGAAGAGAGCTGAACTCCACTTAGAAGAAATCTGTTGTGTTTCTTTGTGTGTTCATTTGCTTTGTGTATAGGCAAGTCACATTCTTTGCAAAGAATTGCTCTATCTTCTTTACAAAATAGCAGTGCACGTCTTTCCTAAAAATAAAATACAATAAGAAATAAATGTTAATTTCTACATTATACACCATAAAATTAAAGAAGTCATACTATCAGCCCATATTTTATACTCACTACTAAAAACAAAGGTTCAGTGAGAAATATGTGTTATAGATCATGATTTTTCCTCTCATTTTCTATCAAACTAGCTCATCGGAGGAAATGCATGGTGAGAAATAAATTTGTACTAGCTATATTAGTCTGAAACTTCCTAATTTTTTTCATATGATAATATTACTATTTTTTTCTTTTCCCACCGATTCAATCAAAATATCTGTGGGAATAGCAACAAAATATTTTTCAATAGAAAAATAGTAATTATCGGTTGTGCAAAAATTTTACACCACAATATATTTCTCAGATAGTTACTCACTAGTCATTAATAGTTATTATCTCAAAAAATTACCTTTCTTATTTCAATTTTCTTCATCAAAGAAAGTCATATTTTGATGTAATAATTTTAAATTGAGTGATCATCCATAAAATCAAATCGAAGTTCGTACAAGTGGAGAATATTATTTGTACCTGGCAAATGTCACAAAGAGGAGAATCTTTGAAAGAAGGATGAATTAGAGAAAAGCGAAGATGTTTGCTTGCAAGCTTGTTGGCATGATGCACTTGATAATCACAGTTTTGGCAAAGTGTGGCTTCATCTGCTGAACAATAAACTGATGCCTCTTCTTTATCACAAACATCACATTGAATCTTCATTTTCTTTTTCTTTTTAATAATTGTACTGTTTCCCTAAAGAGATGTATATATATAGTTAGAAACTTAGAATAGAAGGGAGTAAATTTGGGAAAGAGACAAAATATTATGGGCACAAAGGGAGTTGTATTCGTTGTGGGCTCACACCTAAAGTCTCTGAAGAGTTTCAGAAAATATATTTAAATCTCTCTTTCATTGACTGAATAAAGAGAAAGCTCTGGAAATAAAAGACAATTGCTTCTATAATGTCCAAATAAATGTAAAGACAAAATAACCAAACAAGTTGCCTATTTACACTTTATAAAAAGCTTTCGCACTCTCACCACTCAATGGTTCAAATTATATTCCAGCCTAAGTTAATAAAATTTAAGCTATTCCTTTTCATGGAGCTACCTACACATTTGACCGTTCGGTCAAAATTATTTACCTTGAAAAATTCTTTTCTGATAATGAATGGCGGTGAGATTCTATCTCATGATCTTAAATATCATATTAAAGTGTGTGCAGATTAAGTTATTAAAAAAGTATAATTTTATTATTTAATTGTATTCTCAATAATAATATTCCGATACATTGGTCAAACGGTATATATGGACACAAACTTATCCAAACATTACCATTACATTTATTATATTTATTTATTTTTTAAAAAGGGAAAACGGCATTTTTAGTCCCTGTGTTAAGGCTATATTCTTATTTTAGTCCTTGTGTTATCTAACTTAGCACTATTAACCTTCAATTATATCAAGTGAGTGATTTTAATCCTTCAACTAATAGATCCAAAAAAAAATTAACAGAAAGTTCACTGCTAAAAGAGGTAATTCGGGTATTTCATTTTAATTATTTGTATGTTACCATACTTATAAGTTTCCTTAAGCTTCAATTTTACTTGTAATCAGTTGGAAGAGTTGGTTTTATAATACATTCAGTTCAGATTATCACTGCTGTCGAAACTGACAACAATTGAATGGAATTCTTCGAGATAAATTGAAGATGTGTAGATTCTAAAATATAATTCAGAGCATTGAATTTATGTGGTGCTTTCTGATGATGCTAACAATTTTTTTTATTTCTAATCAAAGTTGAATATGGTGTGTTACCATACAAATCCTTAGGGTGTTTGAAATTGAGTTCTTCTGGTAGCTTGAAGTTTACAAATAGTATATTTGGAATCATATTTTCACATATACAAATAATTTGCATAACATTAAGGAAAAACAATTCAAAGTATTCTGGTATATTTGTTGAGATATTTTTCTTTGTCTATTACATGAAATTTTGAATTATTCAACTTAAAAGAGTACTCACATGGAGTGGATTTCAACCCACTATTAGAATGCAATTCCATTGCACATCCACACCAAATAGATCGAGACTTCTTCGGTGTGCAGAACTAGGGTTGAACTAGTTTATGCAGCAAATAAAATTTTTAAAAAAGTTTTCTATTTCTCAAGCAATAACTTTTAAATACTCGAATTGCCCCTTTTAGTAGTGAACTCTCTGTTAATTTTTTTGGATCTGTTAATTGAGGGATTGAAATCACTGAATTGATATAATTGAAGGTTAATAATGCTAAGTTAGATAACACAAAGACTAAAATAAGAATATAGACATGAAAATGGGGCATTGGTGCATGGGATAGGATGAAGTTGTTTTTATCCCATTTATTGATATTGATTGATCGATATACGGTGATACCCTCTTAAGCTTTGAAATTGGAAAATGGAAATTAACATGTAAAAGGTAGATCTTTATAAATATTTTGGTACAAGCTAAGCCATTTATTTTACTTTGTTAGATAGATCTACCTAGTTAAATATTTGTGTAATAAGACCAAGCCATTTATATTAGTGTAGATGTTTCCAAATTATTTAGGAAGAGTACCAAAATAATAAATATTTCCAAATATAATTGGTATAGATAGGGGGACATGGAATATGTATAAATGCTAAAGTATGTCAGCTTATGGGCAAGCAAAGCCAGTTGCTTTCACTTTAATTAGTTTTTCTTGCAAAAATTAAAAGGGGTGGGTGGGTGGGTGTTTGGCTGGCTTTGACAGCTACTATTTGAATTCACATCTTACTAGGGTTAAACCTAATAATGTCAACTGATAATTGTATAACATATGGCTACACTTAATATGTGCTATTTACCCCTATATAGATTATCTAGCCAGCCTCTCTTTCAAATCTTTTATTATATCTTATTTTTTTAAGTCAACGAATTATTATTTTGGATTTTTCACTCGATTGATGCATATTTTGGGGTCTCGATCCATTTAGATTATGTTGTGGAGGTTATAACAGAAGTTATCAGTCGATCGAGTACAAGAAAAGAAATTCTTGGGTCAAAGATTGTACATGAGACACTTTCTTCGGTCCAGTTAGTATTCAAGGTTCAAATCTGAAATCCTTAATAAAAGGCGGAAGGATCATCTTAATCCCCAGTGATAATTTTACAAATTAAAAGGTTGATAAATGACCAATTTTGACTGATTGATTACACTGACGAGTTGACAATGTTGGAGACTTGGAGGTATGTAAAAGTTCAAACAAATAAGTATTTTAAGTTGAAGTTTGAAAAGGTAAAAGACAAGGCTGGTGGCATTTTTTGAAAGCTTTCTTGTGGTTGGAGGCACATTTTTCTAATATCAAGATTCAAACATCAAAGAGAGAAAAGAACAATTGTGCCAAATACGACTAAATCAAGCTTTTCAAATTTAATGACTTTGGCCAATGAAAATTCGATGGTAACAGAGTAAAATGCCCTACATTATTAATTAGTTCACACTTGAAGCTTTTCTAAAATGGCACTTGAACATTCGTTCACTTAAATATATATCTTCATCTTGAACAAAATTCTATATGATCCATTATTATGATTTTGGGTTTATCTAGAGATTTAGTGCATTATGATTTTGAATTTATTTGAAGATTTATTCTATGTCACTTACATCATCCGTTATTCATGAATAACAAAATCCCTAGCCTATTTTTTTTTAATGTGTATGTCAAAGTTAGGGGTAAAGATAATTTTTTAAGACGAATAAAGACTAGTAAAACTAGTTCCACATGTTATTTATTAGGCCTTACCAAATTATTAACTCTAATAATAATACTAGTTACGGGCTAAAATGACTAATAAAATAAAGGAGTTGAAATAATATTATGCATCTTTTGCCAAGTTCACAATGTTTTTCTTCAAAAATCCGTATTAGTAAGACTTAAAGAGTATGAATGTGAAATTTTATTCATCCGCCAAATAAGATCAACTTTCAAATTATGTCCGATCCAAACACAATATACATTTAAAAACAAATTAAAAAAAATAGTTTTTCCACCTTATAATTAGTGCCCATTAATAATTATTGGTTATTAAATCCTTCTTATAGCTGTTAATTTTGGATTATTAAATCTTGATCATGTAGTTGGTGGAAAGGTTGAAGAAAGAATAGTTCAATATTATTATTCTCGAAAAAGATATGTTTTTATTATTAAAAAAATAGAAAAAGAGTAAGGAAGAACAAGCACTAAATGACAAATTACACTTTTCCAGGATTGGGATATGGATGAGATTTTTAGAACATCTTAGAAGGAAAATTTAAAATATTTAAAAATTGTATATATGCAACTTGTTGAAAGTCATTGATTGGATGAGAACTCAGAAGATAAGAAACAAAAGTATCATAAAAATATTGTACTATATAAATATTTAAAAAGTAGATGATGGTGGATATGACATTATGCTGAAGAATTAATTTAATGCTTTTTGGAGTCGGTTGGTAGATCGCATTAAAAAAAATAATCCATACATGTATTATGTATGATATTATTTAGTACTATATTTGGTAGGAACTTGGGCCTATGTATAACTAATCCATGGATTAGCTATACATCCTACATGATATTATATGATGTATTACTAATACCTTCCATTTGGAGGTATTAGTAATACATAAGATATAATACCATGTGATAAGTATATATAAAGACAAAAATATCCCTCAAATCATTATAATTATTTTTTTTCATTTTCTTGATTTTATGTTTTATATTTGTACTAGTAAAATTATTTAAATAAATTAGCTTACAAATTATTTAGAGAGAGTTCTTTGTTACTAAATATATCCAATACAAATCGATACAAAATTGAAATGTGAGTTATTTAACATTTACTAATTAAAAGGCAAATATATCACTAACTATTTGTATTTTGAACAATTTAAAAAATACATACTTATTAAAACTATAACTTGCAATTTTTATGTGTAAATGCAGATGGTTTATTCAATTTTACCATTGTTGACCGTCATTTTAATTTTAAAAGTAGTTGATTTATCTTTTTTAAATTGAAAATTGACATTTTGTGAGTGATCAAGTTATTAAGATGGGAATTATTTATCCTCAAATAATTCAAGTAGAAAATTGGAAACATGACAACAAAATTATTTTTCTCATAGCTAGTTAGAAGGCCATAAAAAAAAACATTTTTCGGCAATTATCTACCTTGACCCAATTACATAACAGTTCAAGGGTATAATTGGAAAAAAGATTTTAAAAGAGTCTTAATCCAAAAACAAGTTGGGGTTGAAAATAATGAACCAAACACTTAATAAAAATAAACTCCGCATTACTAATCCCTACACTACTAATTCCTGCATCAATAATTCTTGCATTACTAATTCCTGCATTATTAATTTTTTAACCAAACGACCCCTTAAAGTTTCAATTTCTAATGGTTTCTCACATGGAACTGGATTTTGAGGATCAAAAGTGATGCCTATGGGCCATATGCAATGTACTAGAAAGTTGAAACCATACGTTTTTTTGCTCATCTCTGGGTTTTTTCTTAAATCAAGAAAATATGGAGATAGAGAAAAATAGACCACTCATCGTGATGAAGAGAAAAATATTACAGTATACAGTATACTCTTGAATGAAATTAATTAGAAAATACTTTGGTCCTATTAATTTTCACTTGATAAAGCTTTATTTTATCGATCTGAATTATTCAAATCAGAAAAATAGACCATTCATATAGTGTATATTTTCTTTCACAATTACTTAATTATTCATAGTTAATTATGAATTATTCATAAAATTTAAAGTTATATTTTCCATCTTTTGTGACTACTTATTAGTTTTAGGAAAATATATTAGAGCTATGAAAATGTATGATGAATGATAAAAAAGATTATTATTTCATATATGATAA